GGTCTCGCTCTTGCTCAGGCTGGTTTCGAACTCCTGAGCTCAAACAATCCGCCCGCCTCGGCCTCCCAGAGAGCTAGGGTTACAGGCGTAGAAATTAATTCTTTGATACAGATCGGTTTCCTCATGGATGTCTTGCAAAGCCAAAATAAATTTTTTTTTAAATTAGTCTTTCAGAAAAATATTGATCAGAAACTAGTCAGAAGTTAGATATACAGTGAAATGGAAGACACGCAGTTTGGTTTTATCCCAATTACTTCATTTCCCTTGTTTGTTAGTTATAAAACCTTGGGCATTTTTTTAAAATAACCCCAGTGAAATTAAGACAAAAGGAAAGCCAGTGGACATGTCTGAGGACCTTTTTTTGGGATTATAGTCTTTTCATTGACTTTAATATTTACATGGTATAAATACGAAAGAAAATAATTGTAGATACATATTTATGCTTTTGTGTACATATATTTTCCAGGTTTTCCAAAGGTTTTTTTTGGTCTGTAAATCTTTTCAGAGACTTTTGAGATTCTAGAATTTGTGTCATGAGTAGATCTTGGGGTAACTACTATTGAACTGGTTGAGATTTAGTTGTGTTGTGGTATGGGTAGTTTCTCAAGTATTGGTAGTTTGGTTTTGTGGTAGATTGGTTTTTCTTTTTGTATTTTCTATGTGGTATTAAAAAGATAAAATCTTTAAGTTCGAAAACAAGAAATAAGTAGCTTAAGAAAGTACACAATACTTGTCACATATTGGGCACTTAGTAAATACTGAATGAATGTTGAAAGAACAAAAATACCATGTGTACAAATGCGGTAGGGTCTCCTATTTACTCAGTGCTCGGTTTCTGGGTTGTATTTGTTATACATGTCCTGATACCAGCAGATGACATCTAGAATTTTGACCTTGGCAAGTACGCATTCTTAGGAGCAGCAGAGAGCTAGTCCTCTTTTGTCTTTCCTTTCATCACAATCTGACCATAAATGGTTTATTAACAGAATACTGTTATTGGTTACTTAATTGTCTTCATCAGTTTAGCCACCAGATTTTTTCAGAACATTTTAATGACCTTTTATAATTCACATCCCCTTTACATCTAGATTTGGGTGGTAAACCAGAAGATAAATTTTAGGAGAAATACCTAAATTTTACTTACCATTGAAAATGGTCAAAAGGAGATTTTCCTTTCGCTAGAATAGGTGAATATCATGCTTTGTATTTTATACTCTTGCTTTAACTTGATGTCATTCACTTTTATATCCTAAGCCTTTGACCCATTAGGAGCTCACCAAAATCTTTGCTACATATAAAATGAACAGATTGTCCTTTATTGTAAAATTTGATTACAACTAAGCTTGTGCTCAGAACTTGTTTTTTCAGTGCCTTTGTTCCTCTTTCCTTGTTATTCCCTGATCTTTCTTTCTCTGGGTCATTATTATTAATAGGCATGGCACCAAATATAAAAATATTGAAGATCAGTGTAGGAATTAGAATCTTTGGCTTTTGTGCACTATCTTTTAAATAAAATCAGTTCTCATGTTTTGGATTATATATCTGGTGAAGTATTAGAACAAATAGCATCTTTAGTCCTTTCTAAAACTTTAGTTTCTTAGTCATCATATTAAAAAACTCTTTAATTACTCCAGAATAACCAGGGGATCTCATCCATCCATGACTTCCTTTGGAAGATGCTTCCTGAGCTATACTCAGTAGTGACACTTCTCATTGATGATCTCATTATTTGGAACAATTTATGCTCCAAGTTTCATGGCTGGGGCTTTTTAACCCCTTCCTGGATTCTCAGGGTGCAGATGTTTTCTATCCCTTCAACAACTTCAGTTTTCATTCTAAAGAACAACAGTTTTTAAAATCGTATTAGTCATAGATTTATTCTCAGCGATTTCTTTTTCACAGACTTGGGTCCTGGCCTCTGATTTCTCCAACCGTTCCTCCACATTCTCCATGTGCCCGTCTAGTTTGTCAAGTTTTGATGAGCAGTTCTCTACTTTGCCCTCCAGTGAGGACAGTGTGTCCCTGCATTTCCCTGAATCTCACATGAAGCAACTCACTCCGCTCGTGGAGGGACCCACGCACTCTGCTGCACTGTGGAACAGGTCAGCCAGCCCAGTGAAGAGGAACACGATGGTGCTGCCTCTCAGGCCAGGGCATTGGGGACGCATGGACCACAGAGACTGTTCTTACTGCAAACATAGTTTTCTGTAATTTCCAATCTTAGGTTAACTAGCCCTTCAGATACCAGAGTCACATAACTCTCCAATTTTGAAGGCATAACTCATGGTTATACTTTTAAAAGGCAGCTGGTTATGGCAGTTCAAGCTTCAACACTCCTTTTTTGGGGTCTAGTAGCACCCTCTGTTGAACTGTGACACTGACAAATTTCAATTCTGAAATTCTTTACAGATTTTCAGCTTAGATTTAATGGACTGTTAAAATTTATGTTTAGCCTTTTAAGTCCCTTCAGAAAGGGTAATCTGTTCTGCATTCTGTCTTTAATTTGTAATAGTGTAGCATATGTTACTCACATTATGTTAAACCATAGCTCACATTATATACTCTGCTGGTCTTTTGTTTGTTTGTTTTGGTGCCAGTAGGATTTGACCCCAGGAGATGCCAATCCTTAGAGTTTGATTTGCATTTATGGTGTGTGTGTATGGGTGCTGAAATCCAGAAATGTTTGTAAGGGTTGCATAGTTAGGTAAAAGATGTTGATTTCTGGTCAAATCAGGGAGAGTTGTTTTCGCCCATGAAGCCAGAAACTTTGCCATGTTTCTCTGGTAGTGCATTCACTTAGCTGATTTTTCATGGAACGTTAAATATAAGAGAAATGCTGGGGTTGTTAGTTATATATTGCTACTGTATACTCAAAATAGGTTTGTCTAGAATTAGCTGAACTGATGTATTTTGGTCTTGTTTTACTAATGGTATTTTTGTTTATAATAGTAGTGATATGGCTGAGATTGTGTTTTTAGAATGTGATGTTTTTTTTACAGCATACTCATCTTGGAGCCTAATAGTATTATCCCAAGACACTTATGACTGAAGTTGTGTTTTAACCTAATTCTCAATTATTAGCGAAGCTAAAGGTGGTAAAGGAAGTAAAGTGGGATGCAGCCAGTAAGCTCTCTAGATTGTGTGCTTTTGTATTCTTGTATATTAAGAGTTATTGGTGAACTGTACTATTTAGTCTAGAGTTGTGTTCTGTACAGCAACTGATATTCTGATCACACTTGAGTGTTTTTAATTGATTATGCATTGTTAAACCAAAAGTAGAATTACCTGAAAGGGGGGGGTAATGTTGTGAAGCTCTTTTGCCTAATGTGTGTTTAAAAGCAACAGCTTGAATTTAGGATGAAACCTCTTTATGGTATGTGATCTGCTAAATTATTGTTTGATCAAATGGCTGGTAGGAATTTGATGTTTGTTGAACATGTTAATTAGCTTTAAGTTCTACAGATAGTTCTTTTAGGAACAGCAAAGAACATTCAGAGAAATTTATATTTTCCATTAACTTTTTCCCATTACAGAAAGGAAGGGGTTCATCTCCCTGTTCACTCCTCATCCTTGTCCACCTCAAGGGACTGTGTGTTATAGGATATTTTATATTTATCTTTTGGTGTATTTTTTAAAACTCTCTATTAAAACAGGACATTTGGAATTTATGATAAGTTTTGGACTGCTGATGAAGAATATAATAGAAGCAACTTGTTCCAGAGTTAAAGAATTTTCTTTTATTAGATATGGAGATAATACCAATAACTATATTTGGAATTTACTAACCATTTATATATGAAAGAAATGAAAACAAATTTCTGGAATAAAAACTAAAATCAATTTATAACATATAATCATTAAATTTTATTATTTTTAAAGCAGATATACCAGATTCATCTATGTGGGAGAATCAAGATTCTGCACAGATAAATGGAATCGATTCTGTTTTGTCAAAGGCTGAAATTGCATCTTGTAGTTATGAAGCCAGGTATGTAGCAGTTAAGTGTATTGTAATTCTTAGTGAATAATTTGGTTAATCATTTTTATATAATCTTTTGATGTGGATTCAGACAGGCCAGTCAGGCCAATGATGTAAATATGTTACAGATGTGATAGGGAAAGAAATATTTTTAGCCTTAATCCCTTCAGTTACCCGCTTCCCTCTTCAACAAGTAACTTTAAATAAATAACTTAATAGTTCCCCGATGTGAACCAGTAGGTCCTACAGTGGAAACCAAAAGAAATTGGGCATTGTTATTTTTATTTCTTTCGAAACACTAAATTAGAGAATTAGATTTTTTTGAATGGGAGAAGATCTTAATATTTGTCTACACTAATCTTTTTTTTTTGAGACAGGGTCTTGCTTTTTTATCTGGACATGAGTGCAGTAGTGTGATCATGGCTCACTGCAACCTCAAACTCCTGGGCTCAAGTGATCCTCCCACCTCAGCCTCCAAAGTAGCTGGGACTACGGGTGCATGCCACCATGCCCAGCTAATTTTTCTAATCTTTTGTAGAGACTGGATCTCACTATGTTGCTCAGGCTTGTCTTAAACTCCTGACCTCAAGTGATCCTCCTGCCTCAGCTTCCCAAAGTGCTAAGATTACAGGTGTGAGCCACCACCCCTTGCCTAGAGGGAGTAATAATTAATTTTAAAAAGTTTTTTTTTTTAAGTCTTTCTTTTTTTTTTTCTTTCCTGGTAACCAAACACAGACATTTTTATCTTTATAACACAGAAAGCACTTTCGCATTTTTGGCAAGTGTTATTCAATAATTACAAAAAGAAATAGAGTCTTAAATCAGTTACATTTTTCAGTCTTGATTCAAAGTTGGGGTTATTCAAGCAAGTACAATCTGAACAAAAAATATTTGAGCTCAGTATCATCCACCCAAAATAGTTTGTTTAAAATTTTGGTAATTATTTTATTAAAAGAATGTTGAAGTAAAAAACATTATCCTCAAACATGCATGATTAGAAAATAGTTTCAATTGTTTTCCTTTTGTGATGTTTCAAAATTTTACTCCCAGGATAACTTTGCCTTTCACATTAACAGAATTATGTTTTAATCTTTTTTATTGTCAGTTGATAATGTGGCCAAGGAATTGAAACTTACTTTAATAAATGATAATTAAGTCAAATACAAATGCATTTGACTTTTTGTGCTACTATTTATTAGCACAGGCACTTTAGAGCTGAGTTTATGTTGTGCTCCATAGGGTAGTCTCTTTTCCCCCACTATTATTGAATGGTGACTTGGGCTTCTGGTGACTAGATGGTTGTGTTTGGTGTCTGGAGGGTGTGATGAAGCCCAGAAATACTCTTGTCAGTCCTTGAATTTTTCTAGTTGGTGAAATGAAAGCTCCACCCTTGCCGTGCTGCCTCTGCAGGGTCTGCCTTCATACCTAGTCTCCCCAAGATGAATGCGGACAGGGAATGTCAAGGCTACCTCGAGGGTAGAAGTGCCACCAGCTCCTGATGGCTTTGGACTCCAGGAGCCACAGTTGTGTCTGGGCACTAGGCTTCTATTGCTTTTTGGATGGTGACTGTCAAGCTTAATGCCTTATAAAGTAATTGGGGAGACAATATATGAGGGCCAAATACTACATAGCAAGCCATGTAAGTGCCACTTAAATGGCAAATGTTTATTTTGAGGAAATGCGTAATATAAAAATGAATTTGAGTATAAATTGGAAAAAAAATCCCAGTTATGGATTTTTGTCATTTCATTGTAATTTTCCATTTTCTAGAAGACTGTTACTAATGAAAGTATTTAAAAAACAGTTTCTGGATACTCGCTTTTGTGGCTATCCAACGAGCATATTTCCCTTAGGTGAGAAAATTTTTTAAACAAGTATAATTAATAATTGTATCAGAAAAATGTTTCTGAGGTTGGAGTGGGGATGGTCATTCCTGTTTTATGCGTTGGTGAGTTTTCAGTAGACATAACCTAATAATGGGGCCAGCAAAGGATGGAATGTGAATGTGAGATGGTAGAAATCATACACAGAGTGTGTATATGTAGGTCACAGTATGCATTACTATTACTAATTTAACTCATACTTACTGTAAAGAACAAGCTTTCTACATAAGTGTGCAGGTAGATATGTGGATGAACAGGTAATTATACACAGATACCCTAGAATGATAGATTTTTAAGATTAAATCATTTTTAAATCTCTATTTTCACATGCTTTTGTAAGGAGCCTTTACTGTTCTTACTTATTAGTGATATGGATGTCTTTTAGTAAGTTGAATGGATAGTGACAGTGGTTTGATGGTAATTTTTTTTATATTGTCTGATCCACCAATACAATTGTCTGAGCAAAGAGTATTTCCGGAAAGAATATGTCCTATGTGCTTTAAACCTTGAATGAACTATTTTTGCAGCATATACTGATGAAGTATTGGTTATTCTGCATGGCAGTTTAGTTGCGAGGAATAGATTAGTCATAGTAATGAAGAGTCACTTCAGACTTTCTTGTAATTGTCTTTACGTATTAATTTTCTATGAAACAAATCTAATTTCCTAACCATCAACTCAAGATACTTTGCTTCCCCTAGTTATGTGAAGCCTCTTAGGTTTTCCTTTTTTATTTGTAACTTCTTTATAGTATCTAGTGGTTCTGAAACATTTCTTTCTGGGAAATGTGCATGAGTACATAAGTAAATGTACTATATTTTTTCTGAGTAATGTGCCTCTGAAAATTTTTGTGTTAAATGAAAATTTTGAAAATGAAATTATTTTCAAATATTAATAAGAACATGGTATATTCATAGGAATTATATAACACATTACTATAAAAAGGAATAACTACCTTTAATAAGCTTAGCTTTTACATGCTGAACCTGTTTATCTAGTACTATTATTCCCTGAAGTTTATCCTTTTCAGTACTAGACATTTTTTCTGCTTTACTTATTTTTGATAACTTTTCTAAACTATGTATGTTTCTATATATGTGTCTAAACGATTTTATATAGATATACAAACACACACACTCTCTTCTGGGTCAGTAAAACAAGGCCTGTTGACTATAAGTCATCCTTTGCTAGGACAGGGCTGGATCATCCTCAGGAATAGCATGAGGTCTGTTTTATTTACTGTCTTATACCAAGCACCTCACAAAATGCCTGAGACATAAGAATTGTTTACCATTCTGTTTGTCAGTCATTAATTCCTTTACTATCATTTTTCCTTCCTATTAGATTTTTCTCATCTACTAGGGACTTAGCAGTGAGATAGTTTATTATTGTTTCTGTATACATAAAATGCATGTACACAAAATTTTTTGCATTTATCTCTGAGTAACTTGGAGGACTCTTCCTTCTTGGCTCTCAATGGTGGTCTCAAGGCTGGGAGGGTACCAGAGGCCTCTGAGTAACTGAAGACTATTTGTATATGTGTTTCTTAAAACAGGGCACACCTCCATACTGTGAAAGCAGTTAGTAAATATTTACTGATGAATGTATAGAATAATCATCATATTATATAATATGTAACTTGGTAAAACAATGCTCTATTATTTTGCTTGTGTTTTTACTATAATATTTTTTCTTGATTCTTTACAGAGTGATAAAATGGAATTTTACTAATTATGTATAATTCCATAATTATAGTTTTGTGCTGAATGCTCCAAATATCAAAGGTAATGTGGGGCATTGAGACACACAGTAGATTTAAAATTTACCATTTTCAATTAGGTCCCTCAAAGTTCTGGAACCCTGGCTCCTGCCCAGAGTGATGTCCTACCATATACAGTGCTGTTGGCATCTCAGCCACTGTGGAGCCACGTCAGGAGCATGGAATTGGTCAATTGGGAATTGGGTGGTAATAGGATGAGTACATTTTGTCTGTTTGTCACATAGCACTGTTTTGTGTAGTTCTTTTGTTTATATTCTTTGTCTTTGGGGGATGAACCCTGGCCAAACGGTGCCATGCATTAGGGGAAGAAATCCTCTTTTGACAGCACATTCCTGCTCTGTGGTGGTTGTGGTATCACCAGCATATGGCATGCTGGCATCTCTGCAAAGGGGCCAGAGGTCTAAGTCTTAGGAGAAAGCTTCAGATACAGACAAGAGCCAAACCTGGTCTTTTAGTAACATATTTGGCACACATACACTTATTTACACTAATCAAACAATCCTGTGATTTTCCTTTGGGGGACAGACAAACCTCTAAGTTTTCTTAATGCCTATATTTAGCCCCTAATGAGAATGGAGTTAAATGGAAATTGTAAATTAGTGGCATGGGGAAATATTAGCATATTTGATATTTGATTTTGAGTTTAAAACTTTCTGGTATAACCTCCATTGTGTTTTGTTCTCTCTCCAGACAAGTTGGCGTTAAGAATGGAATGTTTTTTGGGTATGCTAAACAGTTATGTCCTAATCTTCAAGCTGTTCCGTATGATTTTCATGCATATAAGGAAGTTGCACGAACAATGTATGAAACATTAGCAAGGTATAGTGCGTAATATAGTCATTTTTATGTCTGTTCTTTTTTTTCTATTTATTTTATTTATTTATTTTTTTTAAGAGACAAGGTCTCCCTCTGTAGCCCAGGTTGGAGTGCAGTATGCGATCATAGCTCACTGTACCCTTAGACTCCTGGGCTCAAGTGATCCTCTTGTCTCAGCCTCTCCCAAGGAGCTGGGACTACAGGTTTGTGTGCCACCGTGCCCAGCTAATTTTTCTTTCATCCTCTTCTTCTTCTTCTTTTTTTTTTTTTGTAGAGACTATGTTGCCCAAACTGGTCATGATCTCCTAGCCTCAAGTGATACTGTCACCTCAGCCTCCCAGAGTGCTGGGATTACAGGCTGTTCTACTACTTTTATCTAATATTAAAGATAGTCTAGTTTTCCTTAGGATTGTCAGGGTTACTTTTGCTAGTCTTTTCTCTCTCTCAGGAATCCTCCTCAGCATCCCAGTTTGCGGGCCTTTTTTCTTTGGGCAATTTCCAATTAGCTCAATCTCAAGGGAGTTTTTTACATTGCCAGAATTGTTCTGGTGCTTCCTGATGGTGATGTAAAATCTAATTGTTAGCCTGCATAACTTCTAAGTCAGTAGTTCAGTGGTTCTAATTTTTTCCCATAGGTCCATGTTGATGAAGGATTGGAATTTTTTAACCTGGTTATTCTCTTTTATTACATTTGAATTACAGTTTTGTTCAAAATTAGAACTGATGGGTTGATAACGAATAGAGACATTTAAAAACATGTATCTTAAGATAGGTATGCCAAAAGTTTACTTTAAAAATTAGTCTTTAGTAATAGTTTTAAAATGGTTGATTGCGAAAGTGAGATTAATTTTTTAAATATTTACAGTGTAGCTATATTTAATATTAAGTCAAAGTTTTAAAAGAATATATGGCAGGCTATGTATGCTCTATAGCAGGAGTCAGCATAGGTTATCTGAAAAGGGCCAGATAGATTCTCTGTTGCAACTGCTTAGCTCTGCTTTATAAAGCAAAAGCAGCCACAGACAATACAAACGAATGGGCATGGTTGTGTTTCAGTGAAAATGTATTTACCCAAACAGGCATCTGGGTGTTAGGCCAAGGTTTATCGACCCCTGGGCTATATTGATGTATTCCAAGAGATAGACTTCTTGCCTTCTCTTCACCTCTGCCTCTTCTTTCTTATGCTTTATTTGGAATAGCAGGATCCATTAAGTACAAATGACTACTAGGTGCTGCTAGTCTGAGAAAGGAATAACGTCCAATCCCTGCCCCATAGGAGCTTACGTTAGTAAGAGAGAGAAAATATAAAGGATCAGATTAAGTTATCTGGCTTCAGGATGTGGGGTTGAGTGCTGAATGATAAGCCAGTTACTATATAATCCCAGTCGTCCTTCAGATCTCAAATATAGGAATGTGGGTGCTACCAAGTAGAAAGTACATTCTGTTCAAAGCTGAGGTCATGGTCATATCCAAATGAGGGCTAGGAATGGTGACTGAGCTGAGTGGTGGTGCTACTCTGTTCTGGGTGTCCAGACCTGGACCACACCAGCTGCCTGAACCCCAGGTAAGGAGGATGTGAGGGAAGCTGTGACACAGGCTCAGACACAGAGCCCCGATAGACTCTCAGTCTAGAGACCGTTTCAGTGGCATGTTTCTGTTCTCAGGGGAAAAAAGTCACAGTGTTACTGTCCTGCCACCCTTTGGAAATCCTCTCAGCTTCATATTCTCTCTGCCTCAGGGCAGCTTTCACTTTGAAGCGAAATTCCTCATAATCAGGCATACCCTTCTGTACTTAAAAATTTCACCCTTATTTAAGCATAAACAAGACATACTCATTTCTTGAATAGAGGTATTATTTTTTAATAGAGATAATAATCTGATCTGTAACCTACAGTAAGGTCTAGGTGAGAGATGAGGCCTGGCATTCATTCCCAGTATGTACTACCTGTTGGACTATTGAAGACACATTTTTGATCCTGAGGGTTCTTTTGTTGCCTCCCATTTCTGATCCAGTTCTGTTTTTGTGGTTTCGTAGTCATGTTTAATGAGCATTGAAGCCACATAGCAACTGTTGTCTTCCTTTTTCTCTTCTCTAGCTGATTAAAACAAGTCCTTTATGTGGGTAGATCATATAAGGTTATTAAAAAAATGTTTCCACATGCAGGGAGTGTAGGGGGGATTCTCTTAGGCAGCAGGGGTGATTGGCCACTTTATCCTACTGCATCCTAGGTCTGCTAAGTGAATGGTATGTAATTGTGGCATTTTTGTTTTAGGAGAGCAGCAATTACTTATTTGAGTGATATGTCTAGTTTTTCTGTTCCTTAAAGGAGTCTTGTAAACCATGTTTGAAAATTTTTTAGATTAAATGTTTTGACAGTTCAAATTCACCTACTGCTTTTCAACTGTTCAGAGGTTTACAAAGATATTCTCAGTATGGAAAAGCTAGAACGATAATCTGTGCTGTATTTTTTGTTAGTTAATAGGGAGAAAGAGAACATGCTAATTAACTTTGCAGTTAAAAGTTTGGTGACTTCATGATGGCACTTTGGGCAATTTATTCTAAATGCTAATTTTTTTTTTAGTGTTTTGAACCTTGTGAGGAAATGTTGAAGAAAGATACCATAAGAAGACTTTATTTTGCAACATTTATGTCTACCAGATGATGGCAGAGTCTGTGATTCATTGCCTTTGCTTTGTGTTGATAGCTATACTCATAACATCGAAGCTGTCAGTTGTGACGAAGCCCTGGTGGACATCACTGAGATCCTTGCTGAGACCAGAATTACTCCTGAGGAGTTTGCAAGTGCTATTCGTATGGAAATCAAAGACCAGACGAAGTGTGCTGCCTCTGTTGGTATTGGTTAGTATCGTGTTTGTCTTGTACTCAAAAGAGTTGTTTGGGATCCTTGAATATCACTTAATTTTAAGGAGTTTTTATTTTTATTAGCTTACTCTTACTTCCAAAACAGTTTTTAGCATTGCTTGCAGTTGTGTGATACATGAGATAAAAGTATTGGAAATATAAGTAAATAGTTGATATTATATTTGTAGGAAACAAGTTGGAATAATTTTGTTTTTCAAAAATGGGGAAAGTTGAATTCAACATTTGTAAACAATGGGTTTTTTTTTCTTTTCAAAAGTGAGCAGAAGCTATATTTAAAGCAGGGTGGGGGTGTGGTATTTGTAGGAAGGGGTTAAGTATGAGTCTTGTTACTCAGTGACTGTACTTCAGCTTCTTGGAATATGCAGCATTCCTGTCTTTACTCTCAATTCTAGAAGTCACCCCGATTGATAAGTACTCTCAGTATCTGTCCACCCCTTATCCATTGTCTTTAAGCCTTTCACTTTGTTTCCCCAGCTGCTCCCAACAGCTATCCTTGTTTTGTTGACTCCTCCAGCTGTGCCGTCTGGAACTCTCTCTGTCATACCTAGGCTTCCTTGAGTCACCTCTTCCTTTTTGAACCTACACAATACCTTCTGCCAAGATACCCCTTTTCTTGCTATTCTCTTAAATGGAGCCAGTTTGTCCCTGTCATACTCTGTATACCACAGGCTTGAGAGGTAATGATAAACTTCTCTTAGCTTGCCATTGTCACCTGAAACTGTTATTCCTCCATTCTCATTCAAGAACCCTTCTTCCTCTGAAGTTCCCTGTCCTTTATACCCATGGGATTTATAGAGGTGACTGAATAATGATGCAGAAAGGCTAATGCTATTGAAAGGAGAATTTGCTGCTTCCATATCCTGTGAAGATGGGGTATTAACTCCGCTCAGGTCTGCTGAGGAATTGCTGGGATGGTCAGGAGGTGGAAGCAGGAGTGGGGATGTGGGATGGGGGGATGCAGGGCAGGGCAGAGGGAATGGCTTAAGATTGGCCAGTTCGAGTAATTCTGGCAGGCTTCTGGGCTATAGGCATGGTCTCTTGTTGCCTGGTCTCTGACCCTGGGATGCTTTAGGGCAAGGAAAGTGTTAGTTTGGTGTGTGAGAGTTTGGTAAGGAGGTGGTCAGGGGTGGCTGGCTTAGGAGAGGTGCACTTCCAAGTGAGTAGCCTCCTGTCTTTAGGAATTAGCTAGCCCTGGGAGGACAGTCTCTCCCCAGCCAGCAAGATTTTTAAGATGCCAAAACATTGTAAGATACAGAAAATAAAACATGGTTGATAATATTCCCAGCATCCCTATGGTTACTGACTGCCTATCTTTTTACTCCCTGCTGTTGGCCCACAGATCCTTCTCAACACTTCAGTTACAACTTACCTTCTGTGTTCCAGTGTTAGCCACAGTTTAAGTATTTTGTTTGTTTTTAATTGTATTTATTTTTAAATTTATAAGTGATAATATGAATACATTCTTTTAAGTTCAAGCATATAATTAAAGCTAAAATCTCACTTGATATTTCCACTCCTCAGTCCCTTCCCCTTCCCCAAAACTCACCACTTTTATAATTTTAGTGTGGCTTTCTAAAACTGTTCCATCATGAATCTCTATATTTACCCTAGGAAAATACATACGTTTTATATAAGTCTTCCATAAAACCAAGATATTTCCTGGGTGTGCATCTTCCCTGATGGCTGGAGTCTTGATTCTTCACAGAGAAGCTCACCTTGCAGCCACGCTCCATAGATCCCCGACCCTTCCTGGTTCCCAGCAGCCTTTCCCTGGGCCGTGTTTGTGGCCCACGCACATGTCCCTTGGTCCTCACCCCCCGTTGGCATCTGCGTCTTGAAGACTCTCCTGCCCTCTGTTCCTGCTACACATGTTCTCGTCCTTGGGGGTTGTGTTTTCCCCGGTCCGGTGCACTCCTTTGTCCTCCTTTTCCTACATAGCCTGGATCCCGTGGTTGGGAATGTGAACTGCTTTCTGATCATGCCTTCAGTTCCCACAGACCCCTGCTCCTAAGGCCAGTGTTGCTTCCTCTATTCCTGCATCTGGGGAGATGTTGAAATGGCACTTGTTTTAGACCAGAGAGAAACCTCTGTCAAGCAACTATGCTGGTTATAATCTGGAATACTTAACAAAGTTTTACCAGTTTTATACCTTGTTTGAAATAATCAAAACTATATATTATTTATTTTCATTATTTTTAGAAATTGGATAGGTAACCTATCTGTAGACGTCTTTGTTAGGAAACTTAAAAACTAATTGTGAATTTTTCTTGACCAGCTTTTTTTTTTTCCTTTGTAATTTTATAGGTTCTAATATTCTCCTGGCTAGAATGGCAACTAGAAAAGCAAAACCAGATGGGCAATACCACTTAAAACCAGAAGAAGTAGATGATTTTATCAGAGGTCAGCTAGTTACTAATCTACCAGGTAAATACAAATCTTTTTTGAAAACTTTGTTGTATTATAGACATTTATAAGTGCTTGTCATAGTTCTATGATAGAGAACTTTTCCCAAACATGAGTATTAAAAAAATAAAATTTATTATTTGAAATTCTGTATTGAATATCCCCTCATGATTTATCAAGACCTTAATGTTACATTTCAGTTTTACTTCTAACTGGCTTTACTTTAAGTATTTCTCAAATAGCAAGATCAAGGATTCTAAGAAATAGTTTTAAAGGGAATATGATGAAATTGACTTGTGGTCCTTTAAACACATCATAATTGAAATACTGTTTTTCTAAGCCAAAGAGAACATTTTGAGAATCACTTCTCCTATTTGTAAAATCTTGCTGCAGTACTAGTGACAGTTTTCTGAGTTTCGTAAGCAAATAGCTTTAAAAGTAGAAAATGTATGAGCCATGTTAGGAAAAATAAAACTTAAAGAACTATTGTGTTTTTATTAACTCCAGATATTGAAGAAAAACTTTCATGTACACCTTTCTCACCTAAGGGGCAAGATGTTTAGTTATTTTATACTTTTGTGTAGTTATCTACCTATTTGTTATAAAGTGCCTATGTTAGCTTTGCAAAGCTCTCTTGTGCATTTATAATGAAAGTTTTAAAGTTCATTTGTTTGTTAAAAATGGGATTGGTGGTATTTTTAGGTGCATATTTTTAAGCCTAATAAAAGTATATCTGAACTTAGACCATAAAATATTAAATGACTCCAAATGCTATTTTATGGTGGTTTAGTTTTAAAGCTTCTTTACTCCCCTAGTAAATAACTCAAAATAATGTATTAGTGTCAGAAATGTGAAATATGACATTTTTGATGGTCAGTTTGAGGTTTAATTTGAAGACTAGCCTTATAAAATCAAACCAGCAAATTACCTTAGTAGACAACACAATTTAAACAGTTTTAGTAAGGAATCTTTTTTCAGTTTTATATAAAAAGGAGCTAGTGTATTTAAAACTGCCTGTAAAATTTGAGTTTATGTTTATTACACTAGCCATCTCTTAGTTCTCTAGGGGTGCTGTAACCAAATACCACAGACTGGGTGGTTTAAACAACAGAAATTTATTGTTTCACAGTTCTGGAGGCTGGAAGTCCAAGATCAAGGTGTCTGTAGGGTTAGTTTCTTCTGAGGGTTCACTCCTTGGTTTGTAGATGGCCATCTTCTGCCTGTGTCTTCATATGGCCTTCCCTGTGATTGTGTCTCTGTCCTCATCTCTTTTTTTTTTTTTTTTGAGACAGGTTCTTGCTCTGTCTCCCCAACTAGAGTGCAGTGGCATCATTGTAGCTCACTGCAACCTCCATCTCCTGGGTTCAAGCGATCCTCCTGCCTCACCCTCCTGAGTAGCTAAGACTACAGGCATGTGCCACCACGCCTGGCTCATTTTTCTAATTTTAGTAGAGACAGGGTCTCACTCTTGCTCAGGCTGGTGAGGAACTCCTGACCTCAGATAGTCCTCCTGCCTCAGCCTTGCAAAGTGCTAGAATTATAAGCGTGAGCCACCGCGCCTGGCTGAAGCAGTTCCTTTAAAAATGAATTTCATGAGCTTGTGGGAAACTTCCGTGGTAGAGGGCTCCTCCACACAGTGAACGTTCTGAGGATCATTTTAGTCAAGAAACCTATGTATCTTTGTTAAAACTAGTAAGTTCTCAAAGATATTTTGTAATGAATATACAGTACCTATTAACATCTGCAGAACATGCTTTGGGGAAACTTTGCTCTCTTACCAATAACTAGAGGAAATTCAGTGGTAACTCCCCTACTTCCAGCCTCTTTTTGGCTCCAGTGCCCATAAATACTTATTGAGCACGTAATGTGTTGAGCATAGTGCTAAACAATTAGAATAAATACATAAGACAGAAAAACACACTAAGTTTTTGTTTTGGGGCACTCTACAGAATAATGTTTATATGTTATACTAACAAATACATTACTTAATTTGATCTTTTTACCTAATGAAAGAAAAGATTGCCTCCAGTAACGATTTCAGCATAAAGGACCATTTCTACTTGTTCTTTGGATCTTTGTAAGGCTTCTCACCCTTTGCGTGTGCCCTTAAATTAAGGGCCCTGTGTGCCTCGTTCAGGCTGTGCCGGGTTTGTGCATCCAGCCTATGATTCCATCTCTGTCCCATTCTCAGAGAAACACCATGAACACATAATGTTCATGAAGATCTGCACTATCCAAACACAGCAACCACTAACCAAGTGAAGCTAGTAAAATTTAGAGTTAAATTAATTAAAGTTAAATAAAATTAACAGTTCAGTTCCTCGGTTGCACTGGCCATATTTCAAATGCTCACTGGCTGCATGTGGCAAGTGCCTGCTGGATTGGACAGCGCAGACAAGAACATTTCTGTCATTGCAGAAAGTTCTGTTGAATGGTGCTGACATAGGTGATGAGAATTTTATTCTTTGAATTGTTAATTCTCCGTATTTGTATTGGACAGCCAAGTTCTGGATGCCACGGAGGAGACATCATTGGCCTTTTAAAATCCAGAGTAATAGTCCTCTTCAAGGACAGATACCAATTTCTTACCCTAGTTGCTTGACCAGGAGCTTCCACATCTTTTTCTTCTCTTCTTCTTGGAGACTTAGTTCTTAGCTAGCGTATTTTCCTTCACTTTTTCCTTTCTAGGTGACTGCACTCAATCTGTGCCTCTAGCCCCCTTTACTTTCTCCCTAGAGATGCCCACTTTCCTTTATAAACATACTTGAGGCATTCAGTGAAACTGCCAACTCTGCCAGGGTTTTAGTGCTGGCTCCAAGCTTAATTTTCCACCCCTCTAAGAGTAATAAGGGTTGGAGGTAGACCACACACCCCTCCTCCCCTCTGCTCCAGGCCCACGCCAAGTTCCATCAGGTGGCTTTCTATGGAGAAGAGCCATTCTTCCCTAGAGGGACAAGTTCAGTTAGATTCGATTGATAGTGGTTAATTTGGTGATGTTTAATATAGAAATAGAAAGGTGCCTTTCTTTTGCACCTTTACCGCATAATAATTTTACTCTGGTTAAACTCATACACTCTTCAGGATCATTTGAGCCCAGGCATTTGAGGCTGCAGTGAGGTATGATGGTGACACTGCACTCTAGCCTGGAAGACAGAGCCAGACCCAGTCTCTAAAAAGCAGATACACTCTAGGAGGATCACTGCCTATTGCTAATCTTGCAAGTCCCTACGTACAGATGGGCTCCCCATATCTGTAAGGGAAGACCATGATCAGGTCGTGGGGGTGGGGGGAGAGAGGGACGCAACAATGGGAGGGAAAAAGTCAAAACAGCAACAAAAGAAAGCCTTCCCTCAAAACAAGTAGCTGTGCAAAGTGTCTGTCTACTATTAACCAACCTAGTATGTGATTTGTCCATTCTCTTGGGTTTCTCCTCCCCACCTTGAAAAACACTCAGATAGATTTCACTTAGAATTTTACCTTTTTGTGAATGGTATTCCTCTGGAGAATTTTTTTTCGTAGCTGTTAATTCAGAGTCAGGGTATTTCTTTCTTGCCCCCTTGTTCAGCCTTGGACTTTAAAATGACACAAATGAGAGCCAGCACGCTGTTACCTCACTTCCATTAGGGAATAAATTATCTTGGTTTAAACTTGGCTGACGCACCTCCATGGCCATAGATCTTTTGTGAAGTCAGCAGCCTCCTAACTTGTGTCACACGTTATTGCTTCCAGAGGTTTTCCTGGCAGAACCTGGACAACTAGACTGGTTGTTCCTGCTACTGAAGACCACTCAGGAAGATAGGAGCTAGAATTAACAATAACAGTGATGAGCAGAAGTTAGCAGACTTCACTGAGCTCTCTTTTGATAAGATCCTACAGAAGACCACAGACACACACTGTCTTTCTGATAGAAACTATATATTTGGTGGTGTGGAACCATTTTAATAAGAATGATAGCTTCCCTAGGTTACTCTAAACCTCTTTTCTAGATATGTATGCTTTTTTAAAACTTTTAGGGCGAATTGAAGAAAACCAAGACTCCAACTAAGAGCAACAGAGCTCATCAGCATTCTTTGGGCAGGGCTCAAACCTTGCATCTTGTATCACAGGACATGGGTTTTCACCTGCTTGTTCTTCAGGGAGATCGTGTCTTTGATAAAAGAAATATGGCTGTCTTCTCACCTACTACCAATTTGTTTGCTTAGGAACCTTTATCAGCAGGTCAATATTGTTACTTTTGTCCAGTATGACAGTAAGTAACATTTTTGGCCTTGGGTCTATCCTATAAAATTCTTGTTCTATTTCCGACTCAAAGAAAATGTGGCTAAAACCACTGTGAAATTTGGTGATCATTGAAATCATAATGGAGTCCCTTACATTCCATGAATCTGCTAGTATGTCTGTAAGTCATACTATAGACTTGTTAAAGTAACAGTCTGTTACTTAATTTGTTGGTTTTGTGAATAAGATAGAAATCTTGATATCCACTAATAAATAAGTCACTTTTAAAAATAACTTTAGTCTTAAGTATTTGAAAAGTTCCTGGTTCATATGTATGTGGAGTCCAAATTAAGAAGTAGATTATAGAAATAACACTACTAGCATGATTTTTTTTTTTTTGAGACAGAGTCTCACTGTGTTGCCCGGGCTAGAGTGCCATGGCATCACCCTAGCTCACAGCAACCTCAAACTCTTGGGCTCAAGTGATCCCCCTGCCTCAGCCTCCCAAGTAGCTGGGACTACAGGCATGCGCCACCATGCCCGGCTAATTTTTTCTATATATTTTTAGTTGTCCAATTAATTTCTTTCTAATTTTAGTAGAGACAGGGTCTCGCTCTTGCTCAGGCTGGTTTCGAACTCCTGAGCTCAAACAATCCACCCGCCTCGGCTTCCCAGAGAGCTAGGATTACAGGCGTGAGCCACCGCGCCAGGCCTACTAACATGATTTTGCACTAGAAAATGCTTCAATCTATGAGATGCTGCAGTTATGTTAAAGATTTTAAAGGATTATTTTCAATTAGTTGTTATGTGCATGAATAGTAGTTATTTCATATTACTAAAATTGTTTTTAGTGGTTTATTCTGCAAAATTAAAAGAACTATATGCATATTCTCTTTCCTAGGAGTTGGATGTTCGATGGAATCTAAGTTGACATCTCTGGGTATTAAAACTTGTGGAGACTTGCAATATATGACCATGGCAAAACTTCAAAAAGAATTTGGTCCCAAAACAGGTCAGATGCTTTATAGGTTCTGCCGTGGTTTGGATGACAGACCAGTTCGAACTGAAAAGGAAAGAAAATCTGTTTCAGCTGAGATCAACTATGGAATAAGGTTTACCCAGGTACTGATCACTTAACAGATTTTTACCTTATGTTGTTCTTTATATTTTTTTTTACATAGTCCTATCTCTCCAACTAAGCCATAAGACCTTTGATGCTTGAAATTAAAACTTAAAACTGTTGATATTCCCAGAGCTTGAAGAAGGTCTTTTGAGGCAATGCATGGTAAGCTATACCTCCAAATAACAGTGAGGGAGCTACAGCTTTTAGTATCTTGGAGGAAAGATACTAAAAGATTATGCTATGGGGGTCAGTTCTTGGAGAATTTGAGATTATAATTATTCTAATTTCCAGTGAAGAAGAAGAAAAATATTTTTAGTGTTGAAATACTTTTTAAGCTACAGTTAAAAGTAAGTTTCAGCTAACTCCTCCTCCTCATTATGCATGCTTCTGGAAGGTAGTAGTACAGATGGTTGAATAGTCTCTGGAATTCAACAAACAACATTATACCATAAGGATTTGAAATTTGATGAGTTAATTTCCTCATATGCCTCTACTTTGGACTTAGGAGTTCACGTTTCCTTAAGAATGGAGATGATGCTCGGGCTACATAGGGATATAGAGCACAGTGTTAGCACATTTTATTACAAGAACTTAACTTGTTAATAAGAACATAAATACAAAAGAATCTCAACAGGTCAGTGATGGCACAGAAAAACAAGAAAGAAAAAATGCCTTTAAAAATACTAACTACTTTCATTTTGCTGGGAAGTATTTTTATTTAATGCATAGTTCAGGGTATACATAATGTTTATTTTTAATAGATACTTAGCAGGATAGAAAATGACATGTTGAATATTAAAAGTTAAAATACTTGAGAAAGGAGTTTGAGACCAATCCGGGCAACATAGGGAGACCGTGTCTCTACAAAAAATAGAAAAATTAGCCAGGAATGGTGGCACATACCTGTAGTCCCAGCTACTCAGGAGGCTGAGGTGGGAGGATTGCTTGAGCCCAGGAGTTTGTGCCTGCACTGAGCTATGGTTGTGCCATTGCAATCCAGCCTGGGCAACAGAGCAAGACCCTTGTGTGTCTGTTAAAAAAAAAAATTACTAGGTATAAAGGAAAATAACATGGAAATTTCTCCATGTTTGTCTTCCCATAGCCGAAAGAGGCAGAAGCTTTTCTTCTGAGTCTTTCAGAAGAAATTCAAAGACGACTAGAGGCTGCTGGCATGAAGGGTAAACGTCTGACTCTTAAAATCATGGTGCGAAAGCCAGGGGCCCCTGTAGAAACAGCAAAATTTGGAGGCCATGGAATTTGTGATAACATTGCCAGGTAAGCTTATCTTGAAAAGGATTTTGGTAATTGTATTTCAGTGTAGGTTATTATAATTAATAGAAAATGAAGAAAACCAAGGAGGAGTTTGAATAAGACCTGTAAACTCTGGTGTTATTTGACATCCTGTAGGGTCAAACCTCAACCTGAGGCCACTGATTTAGGTTAAGGTTAATGTACTCAGATTCAGCTAGCCCCATGCACATGGAGGAAGTTTGATGAGGGTCCTGACCCTTGGCAGTCTTTCCCTGGGGTCTTCAGGCTGTTACCTTTAGTGCATGGACAGAAAGAAAGGGCAAGGCTGCAGACCAGGGGGCCTGTTGTGGTTTGTGGACTTGGTGAAACTTTATTCTTGAGGGGAATTTCAATGTAGTACTTCAAAAAATGATTTGAATGAGACATCTTCATTCAAGTAGGTGGGTAATTTTAGTTTGTGAAAATAGTCTCTGAAAACTGGCAAAAGCTTTTATAAACCCCAGAGCCATTTAATACTAAACTTCATGTAAGATTTGTGACCAATATTCAAATACTTGGTTCTACATGTCATTTTATATTACATAGTACATTGTGTATTAACTTATCTGTCAAACCAAAGTTTTGAGACTCCTGACACTTAAAGCCATATATGAAGACTTACAAAGTGTATTTTAATTAAATGTTAGCTCATGCCAACAATATACAGTACATTTGTGTATATGGTGATACTGTTAAGTCATGAGATGACTTTACTCACCCAAACTCCCAAATTTATCATTAGCACATTTGTTCACCTGGAAGACAAGGATTGTAAATTATACATGAAACAAAATAATTTATGAAATATATTTTTATTCAGTTGGTTATCTTGAACTGTTATATTTACCTACTTTAAGTGTTATATATAAATACCTTGTCAGGGAATATAATCTGTTGGTTTAAGGCCTGGAACTTTATTTGTTCAAGAGACATGGAAGAAATCAGCCAAAAACTGAAATAATTTTCCTCTGGAAAGAGAACTGGTAGTAACCTATTATTGAGTTAGTAATTCTGTTTGCAATGGGATAACTGCTTATGCCAGAGAAGCCCAGAAGGCTCTGAAAGAAATGATGGGTGACCTCAGTGAATTCCTGGGACCGAATAATGCTGGCAGATCGTCTGGTCCTCCTTCAAGAGTTCTTAAAGATCTAAGAATCATATATTTTAGTCTTTCTGGGTTTTAGACGAGCTGCCAGTGTATTTCCTCTGTTATCACTGTGCACACATTTCTTGATCCATTCATAGAGCCTCTTAGAAAAAGTGGAATTATAATGAGCACATTTAAATATTTAAATTATTCAGGGGCTTTAGTTTAAATACAGTGAAAGGAGAGTCAAGAACCAAAATACAGATTATTAAGCTTTCTCTTCTGAATATTAACTATACTTTAACATAAAGTAATCTTGGTACTTGAAACTTCTCTTGGAATCTAAAACATTGTACTTACCATTCATGCTTCAGGTGTAAAATATTTATATATTTGTTTATGCATTAACTAAAATTTGTCTTTTGTTAAATTTCTCAATTTATTTTTAGTTGACTGGGTGTCCATTAGAGTTTTCACCTTATAGTCCCAATGTTCTATATAATTTTTCTTTTCCCTCCTTGTGGCCAAGGTAATTAATTTGGTATTCCTGGCTTCCTTGAAAGGGGGAGACTTACTCATTTTTACAAGTTTTTTTTATAATTGTTCGCAACTTTTCTATAACCCTTTAAACAATCCTTACTACTGAGGTACTAGTGAATACATATGGAATGTAGCTTTTGTTTTTTTAAAAAAGTAATTCTGCCACTTACAGGACTGTAACTCTTGACCAGGCAACAGATAGTGCAAAAATAATTGGAAAGGCTACACTAAACATGTTTCATACAATGAAACTAAATATATCGGATATGAGGGGGGTAAGTATGTAATTATTTTAAAGTTCTGACTTTCTGTAATATTTCTTTCATTTGAGGCTTGATCTGAGAATGATCATGGGTGGGCTGTAGGGGGTTTATATTGCAGATCTTAGCTCCTTTGATGTAATCGAAGAAGAGAAACAGAAAAACTCTTGACTTTCTCATCTAATCTGGTCTCCTTGAGTTGGAATTGTTATGAAAGCTTTTTTTCTGCCTAGAATATTTTTTAATAGTACCTTTCTTTTAATTAATCAGGGGCTAATTTTACATGTATTATCTTGTTCTCATTTCCCTAGAAGTAGATGTGACTGTGAGGAGTGTGGATCTGTAAATTTTGTGCCTTTAAGGTCCTTTTAATCAGACATTTATTCTGATGTCTACAGAACGAAGTTGTTTGTTTTTTTTTTTTTTTGGCCTTGAGGAGTGCCATGGTTCTAGCATAGTATGATGATCTAGAAGGGAGAGAAACCATAGGCACATGAAAATGTCTTTGGAACAGATAGGCAGGAGGGCATCAAAATGTCAAAACCTCAGATTTCTTAAAGAGTAACCTTTGTAGGTTTAGTTGTGTGTGCACACATGTGAGTAAAAGGTAGTTTTTGGCTTGGTGTGGGTTTTAAGAATCAGTAGCCAGCCATAATTGAAATATCTCCCTGAAATACTATTAACATAGAATTATATACCCACTGCTCATCCTTCTCCCCAGTATTTTTTGAGAAGTACTTTAAAAAAAAAAAAATAATAATTGCCAAGTAGACTGATGCCTATTTAAAAATTTATTTTTTTAATCCTACTTTAACACATTGACTGCCACACAAGAAAAATTTTTTTTCCTTGGGGTCATGGTGTTTTATTATGAAAATAGAACAAAAACTTCAAAAACAAATCAATCCTTTCTAATTTAATGAAAAATTTGTTATTTTTTATTGTTTTTGTGTATGAGTTATAGGCACCTTGAAAAACAGTTCTCGTGGCTCCCAAGGTGAAGAGATGAGCGAGTTACATATGCTTCATGAGGCCACGGGCTCAAAACTAGTGAGAGTTAAATACAATTCACACGGCAGTTAATGTGTTAAAACCTTAGGTGCCTAGAACATCAGTGGAATACTGTTTGGATTTTCTGATTTAACAGACATTGCAGTATATTTAGGTAGAACTGGATAGTCTCAAGATAGAGACGAATAACTGTTCACTAGCTAATTTATTATTAGTTTTTGTAATAAATCATATAGAAGGATGTTTGAATACTTTCATTTTTACTCCTTTATTCTAGAAAGAGGATCGTAAAAAAGGATTAGTTTAGAATTTTGTTTAGTTGAATTCTTATTTTCACTTTAGTTTTCCTAGAAACATATCTTTATTCTGGTTCTAGGTTGGGATTCACGTGAATCAGTTAGTTCCAGCTAATCCAAACCCTTCCACATGTCCCAGTCGCCCATCAGTTCAGTCAAGCCACTTTCCTGGTGGGTCCCACTCTGTCTGTGATCTCTTCCAAGTTCAGAAAGCTAAGAAATCCACAGAAGAGGAGCACAAGGAAGGTTGGTGGTTGTCAGTGTACTTCCTATGTTAGTGCTATGTCCTTTGGCACGCAATTTATTTTAAAATTGATACGGTGTTGTGTGATTTTTTTAAGAAACAGATTTACATGCTTAATTATGATAAATCAATAATAAAGTTGTTTTATTTGCAATGGACAGAGGGAAGTCAGGGATTAAAGTTTTTTTCCCCTAGATGATCTAAAGAGGCTATTTTATGTATTTTCTGTCCTATAGTACTTCTGGCTGCTGTGGATCTGGAAGTATCATCTGCCTCTAGAACTTGCACTTCCTTGCCATCTTTTCCTACACATCTGCCAGCTGGTATCAGTGCTGATGCTAGCAAAGCTGAATCTTCAAGGAAATGGAATGGTCTACATTCTCCTGTCAATGTGCAGTCGAGACTTAACCTGAGCATAGAGGTCCCGTCACCTTCCCAGGTATATTTTTATAGTCCTAAGTATAAGTTCAAAAGTGGTTTCCAAATGAAAATGACATCTTTGTAATTTGGTTGTATTTCATCAGTATAACCAAGAAAGAGAAAGAACTGTTTGTTAGGGTGGATCATGATGTTGAATTCTAAATGAGCAATAGTTGGGTTAGATGAAAGAGTGTTTTTGCAAATATTTGCAACTCTTGTAAATTGTAAAGCATGGCCGAAAGGCAGTCCTCCTATGAACTGCCACTGTCTGTGACAATGGTGATCATGTGGACTTACTGTTCAGCAAAGCAGCTTTGGTGATCAGTCTTGAAGGGTTTTGCAGCATTTGCAAACTGTTCTCTGTAAAGCGAGTATGATTTTCATAAGCTTTTAATTCCATTTGTGTGGACTGCATTGGCCCCCTTTGCTCCTTGGAAATAGGTAGTACTTTAAACTTTGTTGGGAAAGTTTATTCGTCCCTGTGGAAGGAGGCTGAAAGAGATGTAAATACCAGCCATAGGACTAGGGAAAGGGGAATTGTTATGCTTGCATTGGATTCCAATTGCTGGTGACAGATACCCTAAAACAGCCGCTCCTGGAAAGATAAGATTGGACTGCCTAGTTTATGGGACTGCATGTTTCCAAAGGGCTGGATATGCATGGACAGACAGAGGGGGAGGCCCTGGCCAAAGGAGCAAGGGATTCTGGTCTGCAGTTTGGAGAAAAGTTAGCTTCTAGAAACTTTATTCCAGCTTACTGCTCTCAGACTAGGAAAATTATTTGTATTTTGGGGCAGTCTCACAGCTGTAAGGTGGACTTCTGACTAAGACTGTCCCAGAATTTTAACATGTCTTAGGCATTGGCTCCTGCTCAGGGTTAGAGTCTAGATTTGAGCTTGACCAAGGTTATCTTTCTACCTGTCTGCCGGCTCCTATTGCAGGAACATCCTGTGAGTATATCTGGACTTACCTAGTATGTGGTACTGGCTGGTAGTGTACACATGCCATCTCCGGAGTCCACACATTACTTCAGGTTTCAATGGCAAAAGCCCAGAACATTCCAAAAATGTGCGGATTGGGGTGGGGGGGTGTGGCTTTCCTAGACAAGTAGTGTGTACCTTATGTTCATTATCCAGAATGTTCAAATTGAAATTAAAGTGGTACATTAACTCCCCAAACACATCATCTCTGAGCATGCTCTAACTTCAAAGTCGTATGTTTGGTATTTTATAGCTGGATCAGTCTGTTTTAGAAGCACTTCCGCCTGATCTGCGGGAACAAGTAGAGCAAGTCTGTGCCATTCAGCAAGGAGAGTCACATGGTGACAGAAAGAAAGAACCAGTAAATGGCTCTAATACAGGAATTTTGCCACAACCAGTTGGGACAGTTTTGCTGCAAATACCAGAACCCCAAGAATCTAACAGTGACATAGGAATAAACGTAATAGCCCTTCCAGCATTTTCACAGGTATATTCTCACCCATCCTACTCCATTTCAGATCCTGTCTCACTTCCTTTTCTCCTCTGCACCCTCAGTAGCTTATACCATGGCCATTGGGGAGGGAGGGGCGGGTTGGCTCTGCTCCACCTCCTGCATCTGCGGGACACAGACGGACAGAGCAACCTTCTGAAGCAACTGAGTTTGGCAACAGTGGAAAGAGAAGAGGGAGGGCATGGGATGGGGGTGCTTAAAGCTTCTCCCCAGAAGTGAGCTAGTAACGCATTCTTCATTGGCCAGAACAGACCACTGGGCCACACGTTAAGTATAAAATAGTGGAAGGAACAGCACGACCTGAGTTCCTGTTTTATTGCTTTGCTTCCCATTTCCTAAAGCATCTTGCCCTGCCCTGGTTATTCTGCTATAGTGGTGGTTTTGTTTAAAGTCGATTAATACTCTAAATTTAATTTGTTATTGTCACCATAAACATTTTGAAGTTTAATGAGCTTTGATGCTGAGGACCTGGTAAGAATGCATACAGATCAGAAAAGTATGACTTGAAAACAAAATGTTTTGTGAAAAGTACAAACCAGCACCATCTAGAATTAACTCAGGTTTGACTTTGACCTTCTCTTTTCCGCTAGGTGGACCCTGAGGTGTTTGCTGCCCTTCCTGCTGAGCTTCAAAAGGAGCTAAAAGCAGCATATGATCAAAGACAAAGGCAGGGAGAGAACAGCGCTCACCAGCAGTCAGCCAGTGCATCTGGTAAGCCTTGAAGTGACATGTAACAAAAATGAAGATAAGAGTAATGAAACCCGTGTTGTATATAATTGTAGTCTATAATGGCCAAAGTCCAAGCTGTTACTCACGTTTAAAAGCTCTTCTCACTGAGGGAATAATTCTAAAGTGAACAAGTATACAATATGGGTAAATGGCGTCATAATCTGAGTTGGGTTTGTATCTGTACTTTCTAGACTTCAGCACACCATTCTTTACTTTTTAAAAAGTCTGAATAAGATATTACCATAAATTGAATTTTAAAGTCAACTGATTAAAGGAAAAATAACATTACCAGAAATTTTTTGAATATTTGTCAAGCCAGTTGTCCTTTGAGACTGATAAATCAAAGGATGCAAGTTCAAAACAAAATCTGAAAGTTCCTGGACATACATCACAATACCATACCCACATTTACTGTAAAAATAACATTTCTTGAGCTTACAGTTTAGCTGGCACTATGCTACGTACTTCACTTGTTGAGTTTTCATGTAATCCCTTCTGACTACCATGTTATAGATAAGCAGCATGGCAACGGTCAGATGAGTTAAGTGGCAGAGCAGAGACAGAATTGTAGGGCCTGCACTTTCAGCCCTGGCCACTCACTGCCTCCTACTCTCCGCAGGGGTGTCGGGGTGAGGGGCTGTTGTATTTTGGAGGAGGAAAGAGAACCCGCAGTACTACCCAGACTCATTTTGTTGAGCACCTTATGTCCTTCTTTTTTTAGTGCCAAAGAATTCTTTACTTCAGCTAAAGCCAGCAGCAGTGAAAGACAAGAAGAGAAACAAGAAAAAAAACCCCATCAATACCTCCAAAAAGATACAGAGTCCTTTGAAAAACAAGCTGCTTAACAGTCCTGCAAAAACTCTGCCAGGGCCCTGTGGGAGTCCCCAGAAGTTAATTGATGGGTTTCTAAAACATGAAGGACCTGTTCCGGAGAAACCCCTGGTATCTTTTTTATATACTTTAAAATTCTGACCTTTATCAGATTTTAATGTACTTGATATTGTGTAAATATAGCACTTTTATCCTTTGTTTTCTTAACAGGAAGAACTCTCTGCTTCTACTTCAGGTGTGCCAGGCCCTTCTGGTTTGCAGCCTGACTTGGCTGGCTGTGTTAGACCCCGGGCACCCAATCTGGCTGGAGCAGTTGAATTCAGTGATGTGAAGACCTTGCTCAAAGAATGGATAACTACTATTTCAGGTTGGCTTAGCCTGTGTTAGATGGCCCAAGACTGAGATGTAGTGGTCCTATGGTTTTAAAAACACGAACAGACTAAGCTATGCAGATTTAACCCATTTCTCTAATCTAGTAAGCTCAAACCAGCTACCATCAAACCTTTAAAATTCTGGGGCTTCCTTTGAACAGTTCCTTATTGTAGCCCATTCTGTTGACAGCTATAAGTCAGTGGTACAGTTGTAGAAATGCAGTTTTCCTTTATCCCTGCAGATCTCTGCCTTTCTCCTTCAGAAAGATACCTTGGTCCTCATTTGAGGTTTTTCCCCTCCCTAGATCCAATGGAAGAAGACATTCTGCAAGTTGTGAAATACTGTACTGATCTAATAGAGGAAAAAGATTTGGAAAAACTAGATCTAGTTATAAAATACATGAAAAGGTAATCTATTCACTTTTATTGATGGTGAAAAAATAGCATGTCACAATGGCTAATTGAAGGTGTACTGAGAAGTTTAAACTTTCTGGCAGACTGTACTCTAAATTAGGGTTAATGAAAAAGTGATGCCCTTTATTATATTTTGAATCCCAGAGAAAGAAATGCCATGTTGACTGGATAGTAAGGGTGGGCCAAATGAGATTGTTGCCCTCAAGGTTTGTATAACATGTGATTAGAGCCATAGGAAATCTTTTGTGGTTTAGGATTCTTTTTTGCTGAGATCAATCATCTTTATAAATAAAAAAGAATTAGTCTAAGGGATCTTTCCTAATGTTACTTCTTTTCCCACCTTCAGGTTGATGCAGCAGTCGGTGGAATCAGTTTGGAATATGGCATTTGACTTTATTCTTGACAATGTTCAGGTGGTTTTACAACAAACTTATGGAAGCACATTAAAAGTTACATAAATATTACCAGGGAGCCTGGTGCTCTCTGCTGGCTGTGCCATAAGTGCTTGTGAGGTATTTGCAAAGTGCATGATAGTAATGCTCTGAGTTTTTATAATTTTAAATTTCTTTTAAAGCAAGTGTTTTGTACATTTCTTTTCAAAAAGTGCCAAATTTGTCAGTATTGCATGTAAATAATTGTGTTAATTCTTTTACTGTAGCATAGACTCTATTTACAAAATGTTTGTTTATAAAGTTTTATGGATTTTTACAGTGAAGTGTTTACAGTTGTTTAATAAAGAACTGTATGTATATTTTGTACAGGCTCCTTTTGTGAATCCTTAAAAACTCTAGGAAGCAGCTCCTGTTTATTATACTAAAAGGCTGAATAACCTCCAGGCCAGACTGTTCACTGGCTCTGTGCTAAACTTTGAAATTCCTGAGGTCCCAGGTGGGGATTCTGCTTGTTCCAAGAAAGACTAAAGCTTCTAAACCATCTAATCATTCTTTTCTTATCTCCAAGCATGAACACAAGAGCATGTTAAGAAAAATCTTTACTTCCATGTGGAGAAATTTACATATTTTAAATTAGAACACTCCCACACCCACTTGAAGATTAAAAGTTTTTCCTGGGAACACTATGTCCCACAGATAGATAATTGAGAGATGGTATTGTCTGCCTCTACTGGCCCTTGAGAAACTGATAAGAATGGTACAGATTTTCAAACATATATAAAATATTTTGTTATATGTTATGACATAACACTTTAAAAATAAAAATGTAGTTTATAATTTTCTAGGTCAGTGAATACCTGGAACTTTTTTTCTCACACACTCCACATTGACTTCAACACACAGGCAGTATGATCTAGTATCTAGCAGGTTTCTTAAGCGGGGGAAAGGAGCTCACTTGGACCCAACTCCCTACTTTTCTTTGTGAAAACAAACCGTAAAACTAGCTACAATTAGATTACTACTACAAATAAATCATTATGGTGTCTCTGCAACAATTTAGAAAGAAGCAGTAAGCCAAAATACCAGAAAATGTATGCATGATAGACTTTTCTATGACAAAATAGACCAAGATTAACGTATAAAAATCCCTACTGTTACCGTACGCTGGTATACATGGTAGTGTGATAGTTGGGTTAAGGTAATACTTGTCCTGAGGAGGACTCATGGGAGAGAAGCTACACTAACATGGAAGCCTAACAGAGCTTACGGGTTCTCTTTATTGGTAGTTTGGAACTGTGATGATTACAACGGACTCTCACAACTACACAAGCAGTAAAAAGCAGCCAGCTGTGCTTTACACCATGGTTTCACACAAAGCAGATAAAGAAATACCAGAATGCCTAATTTTCTATTTTAAAAAATTCCTAAGGGGGGCATATGGCAGAAGAGTGCTGAAAAAATCACTGTGGGAAGAATATGCATAAATAAAGTAGTATTTCTTACATCAAAATCCCAAGAATCACAAAATCTGCAGAAGCTTGGTTAATCAAATACTGCAGTACTGATTTAATCAGTATAAAATCGAAAGAGCTTTAGATCTGTAATAAAAATCCAAATTTGGGGAAGGGCAAACTTTAAAACAGCAGCCAAGTGGGACGGGGCGGGGGGCTGAGTGAACAGGCACATTGGAACTGTGGGGACATGTAATTGACCACTGTCAAACCAGTGTAAGTTTCTTGGTTTCTCATGGAAAACATTTTATACACCTATTTTTTTCCTTCCATACTTAAGTCCATCAGTGTCCAGATACGTCTGTTCCATTTTTTGTCTTGTTTTTTGTTGGGATATTACAACATAGTATTGTATTTATTCCACTTCCTGCTCCATGTGGAAAAATTAGATGATTTCAAATACTTTCTTCAGCTCCACAATAAGCTGCCAGTCACTCTTTTGCATTTCATCTCTGAACCAGTCTTTTAGTGCATCGATGGACTGCCGGCTGATCTGCAATGCCCGAGGCACAAATGGTAAACAGAAGGGAATAAATGCCAAAGAAAGCTCCCACCTGCCCAACACCCCTCATTATAAAGCAAGTATAAAGCAAGTTTACAGAGAAATAACAAAAGCAGGGCCTGCCTGCCTGAGGGAACGGAATCCCCAAACCACATCTGCTAATAAGCACGTCAGGCACAGGGGCTCCTGGCCTTCTCTGTTAGTGACGTTCTACTTGGGGCACCTTCCTCGACAAAGCCCCGCGACAGATCAAGCCCCAAGTCCCATCAGATTCTACAAGTTCAAATTTAAGCTCCAGAGCTACTGAGTACAGATAACCAGAGAAGGGTGACTCTGTTTCTTAAAATGTGCCAATTCTGCTGAAATACTTACCTTACTGACAAGAATGTCTGTAGCTTCAAAATGCCTTCCAAACATTTTGGGTGATTCACCAGGGATAGGTTCTATTTTGACACAAACTTCTTGTCCTTTTTTTGCAACATCCACTTGTTTATGGTTTATTTCAATACTTGTTACTATACCAATGTCAACAAACTGTAAAATAAGAACAAAGTACAATGGATGCAGAGGAATTCATGCCCGTCACAGGCGCCATGTGTGTCTGGATAGGTTAAATAAGAACTAGAACAAAAAAGTCCATTTTAAAAGCCTTGGCAGTTATGATCCTGCATTTATCACTTAACATCTCACAGTGTAACTTTCTCACTGGTAAACCAGGGCTGGCACCACCACGTGCCCTATGCCCTTCACAAGACGGGTGGAAGAATGAAAGGAGATTATGTGCTTTGTGAAACTTTAAAAATGCCCGTTGACCCAATGTCGATTTCTATTTCTGCTCTACCCTTTCACACAGCAGGTGCCATGATAGGAGGGGTCAGCAGACACAAAGGCTGAGTCACGAATGAGCGTGAAGCAGTCAGTGGGAATGTAGTCAGAGAGAGCCAGGGACACATGCAGTTTAAGGATGACAGGTTGTGAGCACATGAGTGACATGATCTGACTCTGACGTAGAAACAACCCCCCCCCCAGCTGCCTTGTAGAGAAAGAGATACAGGAGAGTAAGAGTGAAACCAGTGAGAGTTTTGTTTGGTTTAGAAGGCCAAAACCACACAGAATAATTACTGTGAATAAATGTCCTAGCTTGATCCACTAAAACAGTTTAGGAAGCAATGACAGTTTCTAAGTGCTGTTTCCCATTAAAGGAACCACGTCTGGGGCAAGGAAAGTACTAGATGAGCCTAGCGCATCTCACTGCACCAGAAAAGAAAAAAGTGCTCAGAGTGCTATGTGGCAAAGATAGAAGACCAAGCTTAAACAGGCTCCCACTGACCAAACTGGATTAATTTGAGTATCAACAGAATAATGGTAATACATTGTAACACATCAAAAAACCAACACACTGAGTCTACAGGACACTTAATAAAATAAAAAGATCAGTGGGAATAAAGGTCTTTATAGAAATGGGGAATGGGGAGTTCATAATTTTTTAACCATTTATGTAATAGTCGATTTAGGCAAGGATTGTTGGTGGGTACTAAGCCATTGGGATAAAGGCTGTTGAGAAACAAGATTCGCAGGAACTACTAGTACTGCATAAATTATTTAGTAATTACAAAGGGGGAAATAGTTGTCTTTCTAATGGAGACAGGAGCTAGCACGGTCCCCAGGAATGACAGCGTCACCAGCAGTGAGACTGCCTATGCGATGCAAGAGACACACAGAGCACCTGTGCAGGTCCCGTTCCAGTAACTCTAACCTGCTGCTTTCTCGTTGGGAAGAAACAGACAAATCCAAATGGAAGAATAATTTGCAAAACGACTAGGCTGGACTCTTCGAAAACGACGGGGAATTTTCTGACTGCGGCTCAAACACAAAACAGCTCCAGTGCAATGCAACTTGAGGGACCTTGGGCCAGATCAGTGGGTGGAGTTACCAAAGACATGTTTGGGGCAAGTGGTGAAATGTGGATGAGGACTACAAATTACATGTTGCAACTGAAATAACATTATTAATTTTCTTAAGTATGCTGATCTAGAGGAAAGGTATATGGTTGTTCATTATACTATTTCTTAAACTTTTCCCTAAGCTTAAAACTTTTCAAAATAAAAGAAAAAATAGCACCTGATCTCAGTGCTTCAGTTAACGAAGGTCATAAGGTACTCGGAATTACTGCCAGGAGTCACACTAAGGAACACTGATAACTCTCAATCCTGAGGCACAAATTACAGGTGACAAGCTCTGCCTGCTGTAAAGTTTTGTTTCCACCATTCTGTTTTTCTACTGAGGTTAAGAACACTTGAAAATTTAAAAGGGTAGAGACCACGGTAAATGTACAACACAGCACTGTGAACTACAGACACAAAGTTGTGTTGCTACCACTCTTGGACCTCCCCAACCCCTTACTGCTCTAAGAAATGACCAAAATATGACCAGGTTGTTTTTGAAGTACAACAGGAACTTACATTTTTGCTCGGGACGCACATGGGTGTCCCCTGTTTCACCTGACCTGCTTCCACAGTCACCCCCATCACTATTGGATCTCGAGAATTGAAAATGTACTGAGGGAGGATTTTCATCTTGCAGGGAAATACTGCTATGTGTCTGAAAGGAAGAAAGAAAACAGGAATTTCTAAACTTACAAAAAACCATTTAAACATTAAAAAAAAAAAAAAAAAAGTGCAGCTGAACACGAGGCTTCTTCCATTAGATGAAAGCAGCTTTCCTCAGAAACTGCAGGAGAGGAGCAAGGCAGGGCAGGGCGGCCCCACTCCTGTGGCACTGCCTTCATGTTCTCCTCCTAGTGCTTCCCAAGTCTTCACGGTCTTTTCTCTTAAAGCCCAGCCCGGAAAGAAGGTGAATCACAGGAGCCATTTTGTGCTCAAATTAAAATGCTGCATCTGGCCCCTGAAGACATCACCCACACCCCATGGTAGTAGCTGCTAGAGGTCTTCACCTGGCACATGTGTAGTCTGCATGAGGGACCACATAGGCATCGAACCACTTAAAGTGCTTTTAATAGTTTCTAGCACTCTTCCTAATCAAATGTAATTCTTCTCACTTCAGGTTTTATGACCTAAAGTGAACATATCCTAGTCTAAATCCTAATATTTATCAGTCAGCTGTAGTTTAAACATGTATCCCCCAAACTGAAGCCATCACTCCCTGTGGTCACTGGGCTGAACCACCAAACCTCCTGCCTGAACAATGGCAGCCCCCTGACGGGCTCTTGTCACTGACTCCCTAACACAACCCATGGTCGCGTAACAGTTAACCAGTCTGATTGTGACCGTACAACCTTGGCAATGGCTTCTCACACAACTCAAAGGAAAAGCTCAATCTTCCCATGGGCTA